TGCTGCTTTTACACACACACTCACATAAGCTCAGCGATTCTCTGCGCGATCAACCTCTCACATGTTTAAGCTTGCTGCGGGAGATTTCACTTGTCATGTTTGCATAGTAAGCTAACGATTAATAAGACGATGTCAGAGGAATTGGTGCACAAATTATCATCAGTCACCAATCAGTGCTGTCGCTCTCTATACACAGTTCGCGCGATTGCAAAGTGAAAGCAAAAAACAAGCGCAAATTCAAACGCGATTTCAATATGTCACATATTGACAGTGGCTCACCGATGCTGGAGCCTTGTCGTGTCTCGTCTCTCTATATCAGGGGTCCCCAATCCCAGTCCACGAGGGCCGGTGTCCCTGCAGGTTTCAGATCTCAACCTGGGTCAACACACCTGAATCACATGATTAGTTCATTACCAGACCTCTGGAGAACTGAAGACATGTTGAGAAGGTAATTTATCCATTTAAATCAGCTGTGATGGATCAAGGACACATCTAAAACCTGCAGGGACACCGGCCCTCGTGGACTGGGATTGGGGACCCCTGCTCTATATACTGGACTGTATGTAGCGGAGATGACAAAGTTACTTTGACTTCAGCAGCAAGCAGGCGCACCGAGGGCTCTCGCGCTCACTTTTCGTGTATAGAATTTCGAAAAAACATTGGTGCAAATTATAAATCTGTATTATAATGTCTGGTGTTTTCTTGTTTGTTGGTTTATTTTTATTTTGTTTTACTTTGCGAGTTGGTTATTAGATGCTGCTCCAGCCGGTCAGAAAATCCCTCGCCGCCCCGCCCTCTCCTCACTGCGCCGCAAGCAGCAGGCGCACCTCGCAAACGAAGGGCGTCCTTACTCCCAGCAAATGGGTGATAGAAAACCGATCGGTGCCTATGCCATTCCCAATGTGCGCTGGTTGACGTCGGGGGAGCATGAGTACAAGCTTTTTTTTTTTTTTTGGCCGATGCCCGTGATGCCGCCCCCACCACGATGCCGCCCCGGGCAACCGCCCGTGTCGCCCATATCTAAAACCGCTACTGTGTACTACTATGCTGCTTTCCTTTTTTTCTTTTTTGTCTCTATTCTGAATGTGATTGTTGCACTTTGTACCAAACTATTTTAAAGCTTTCTTTACTTAATATTTTTGCAGATTACTTAAATTACAATTGATCAAAGTACAATATTTAAGCAATTAAAGTCTTTGACGGCTTTAACAATAAAGAGATATACACATCAAAAAATTAATAATTATATTCCAGTAACATCATGTATATTACTCAAGTGTCATTACATATGTGAATGATTGTAACTTTTACTTAGGTAAAACGTCTAATTACTTTTTTACCCTCAAAAGTCAACAAGATTATGTTTAAATTGTTATTCAGGTCCGCTTTTCACATAATAACTCTGCAGTAGGACTCAGGGCTGCATATGAGCTTGAACTTGCTCCCCTCCCCCATTTGCCACCCAATTTTTAAAAATCATTTAAACACCCCTGATATCCTCTTTGCTTCCTCTGCAAATGTCCAAACCATCTCAACCTTGCCTCTATAGTTATGTCTCCAAACGGCTCGACCTGAGCTGTCCCTCTAATATGCTCATTTATAAGGTCCAATGTCCATATAATGTCTATATAATGTTAATTCTTGTTGATCCCAGTGAAAATCTTATCTTTAGCTTGGCTTCCTGTTTTTTTGTGGGTGTTACCATCTCCAAACCATAGTTCACAGTTGATCTCACATCCCGTCTTGTAAACCTTCCTTTCCCTTTCTTGCTTTCCCTTTCACTCTTGCCATTGTTTTCAACCCCACTTCTGCATCTGTCTCGTCTTTATCAGCATGCCTCTTTCACCCTCTCCTTTTCATTTCTTATTTAGTGAACCTGAGCTCCTGTGTATTTGTGCCCACTAGCATACACCGACACGATTGGTAAAAAAAAAAACTCAATAGGGGGAAAAAAAGGCATGTGACACATGCAGCAATCAACTATATTAACAATATAAATCATTTTAATAAAAGGAATCATCACAATACATTTCAAAGGGTGTCCCACTTTAACTGAAATGAATGACCCATTTTATCTAATACATTACGGTAAACTGGGCCAGGAGGTAAAGAGATTTCTCTTCATTTTACAAAATTTTATCTGAGAGAGATCCTCATAACAAGGGTTGTGAATTTAGAGATGTCTCTTTGCTTGTTATTGATTTATTAACCTTATTAACAAGTGAGATTTCATATGTTCGTTCACTTGTCATCTGACAGTTTCAAAACGAGGTGTTCCCCTTAGGAACCTCAGACCAAATAAGATCAAATGCTAAATATCAGGTAGTGTTTTAGCACCAGTTTAAAATGTCTTGCAGTCAGTCACCAGCTGTTAACCTTTAAAGAGATGAGATGCTAAGATCCTAAAATAACCCACGTTACCTACAGGCCCAATTTTCACCCAGAGCAACCACCTTTTTTTTCCACTGCTCAACAGACAAAAAAGTAGCAGTTAAAAAAATGTAATAATTGAAATTTGTAGACTTGAGAAATGTTATTAGCTTGTTTATTAAGGGAAAACGCTTAGGATGTTGCTACAGAGTTTAATGCTAATGGATGTGGAAGCTGAGCTAGGGTCACATAGTACAGGTTCACGACCAAATCAGCTTCATCAAATTCAGACGGTATGCTGGGTGTGATCTCAATTACTAGTAACCAGTGTTGGCTAAGTTACTTTAAATTAGTAACTTAGTTACATTACTAGTTACTTCTATCAAAAGTAACTCAGTTACTTCAAGTTACTCGTTACTTTCAGAGTAACTAGTTACTAGGGAAAGTAACTTTGGTTTAACTCAGAGTTCTCTTGTTAATGTGTTGCTTCCATAACTGGATACTCAGCAAGATTGCCAGTCTTCTAGCTTGCTTACTTGCCACAAGTGCACTGTGCCACCTACCAATAGAAAGGAAAAAATAATGTGCATATTTCCACGAGAGAAATCCCACGCCTGATTTTATCCTAGCCTGCTTTTTACATCCAACACAAAAACTGCAGTCGTGGTGCTTTCGATTGTACTCAGAACTCGGAAATTCTGCCTTCTGAATAGGAAGATGTAGGTAACACCAGACTGCAGATGAGCTGCATACAGGGCTGGACTGGGACAAAAAAATCGTCCTGGGCATTTTGACTAGAGGCCGGCCCACCATTATAGGAACAATCATAAAACCTTTGAATGAAAACAAACACTGCTGTGACAGTGATGTACACTGTTCTGATGGTATATATGTATCAATCTATCAGTTGTTTGTTGTAAGACTCAGATAATTATTTTTTTAAAAGTGAGACATTTTAAATGAGAATAAGAAAGTATTTCCTTGTGCCCCCCTCTCCCTTTTAATGCCCTACATGGACCCCTGGCAACACTTTACTAGACCCGCCCCTGCACAGTTACCAGCTGTCAGCTACCTAAAAAAGGATCCTGGTGTTATTTGTCTCTCAGAAACAGTTCATAACTTCCCTTCAACTCATTCATGTCACCTAAAAGGTAAACCTGTTTCTCCATCACAGCTCTGATCATTCAGTAAGGACGTCTTCTGGTTTCATCTTCATGTTTCCCTCTCACCAGATAACCAAACCATATCATGACCAGCAGCTTTTACAGCTGTGGCTCCAGCAAACATCAGCTGATACTAGAAATTAATATTAAATAAATTCTAACAACAGCTGATCAAGCTTAAACGTGCTGCTGTTGTTTAGCGCAACATCCGCTGGTTTCCTCTTTCTGGCGCAAAGTGGGCAATAAACAAGCACGAGAGAAAAGACGATCAGCTGATCATTGATCAGTTTCATGATTGAAGTAGAAACAGGAGAGGGAGGGGGAGAGGATGAGAGAAGAAGAGGCAGCTGTGCAGCGTAAACACAGAGTAACTCCAGCTTTGTGTCTTTTTCATTGTAGCTGAAGTCCGGGACAAACTGTTCCTTTTCACCTAAATACGAAACGCTAATATTTTCTCTGAATACGAGACGATTCCGTTTTTTACAGGACAGCTGGCAACTGTAATAATTAACCTTATGAACAAAATAAAGTTCAACATCAGTAACATAGCACCCACCCAGCTGTATAGAAACTCCGTCATGCTAGCTAGCACGCAGTACGAAAAATTCAGCATAACAAAAATAAACTCCACCTAAACTTGGTTCATATCTGACCCAGATGGACTGCAGGTCATAACTTCTTACCTGAAGTTCAGTTCAACTGACACTCTCAGACCAGCGGCCACTTCGGGTCTCTCCTCTTGCCTCCCTTTTCCTTCATCCACCTGCTGGCCTCCACCACTTGCTAATGTTATTGAATCTGTGGAAGCTCCGCGATAGCCACCACAGGAAGTAACGAATAACGAGCCTATCTAAATCCCAGTAACGAGTAACGCGTTCCCGGTTTTGGCATAATAACTAGTTACTGTGCTCTTACCACAATAATAACGTAGTTACTGTAACGCGTTACTTAATAACGCGTTAGTCCCAACACTGCTAGTAACAAGTGTGCAATCCCACTGTTGCTTTATCACGCTACTCACAGAAAAACGTGCCTCTACATGCAAAGGTATGCACGTTCCACATCATCTATTTCTAAAATAAATTGCTTAATTTCTTCATAAAGTTTTCATATTGCAGCTTTTATTAGATTCCATGAAAAAACACAATAATAATTCCTTAATTAAAAAACGCAGAGTGCGCTTACTCAAGCTTTGTTATTGGGTTTTCCTTTTGTTTATTTTCCGTAAGTCTGTTCATCATTTAATCTGGTGCTTTCACATTCGTTCTGACTGGGTTTGCATAATTCTGAGGGCATTCATCATGTGCTTCTATTGTATGTGTTTGTTTGCCAGCTTTTATTTTCTGTTTTCTTCATCTTTTATTTTATATCTTTCAATGCACGTTTTTTTAAAAACGTCTTGGAAATGTGTCAAAAAATATCACAGATCTGATCTCAGCACTTCCTCTTACTGTTTCTGTGTTTTAGAGACAGCTGTTTGGCATTGAGGCCCCTTCTTCTGTGGAACTGACGGGTTGGAGGAAATACTTTAATAGCTACACTCTGCAGGGTCGCAGAAATGTACTTAACAAGCACACACTTTTATACACACGCACACATCTTTATAGAGATATTACACACAGGCGCGCCGACTCCTCACAATCCCAAATGTTTCCTTCTCTTCTCTGCAGTGTGTCTTGGCTACTTATGGGATCTTTGCAGTAACGGCAGCTGCCTACTTGGTGCTTAGACAGAAGAAAAAAGAAAACCAGACATCCACCTCCTCGGCCTGAGAGGCTAATGTCTTGCAGTCATGCCTTTTCTCTGTGATGCGAGCGGTACTGCACCTTCAAATGTGTCAGCTGCAAGTTACAGAGTGTTAATAAATACTTTGTCTGTGCTTGTCTGATCATTATTCATTGATAAAATGAACAATCTGTCTGCTGCTGCAGAAACGGCAACAAAATCCGTAATTTTCTTATCCGTTTATTACCATTAAAGCAGCATGTTTTTCTCTATAAGAGATATAAAATAAGAAGAATGGCTGCACATTTTTTCACAGTTTGATTCATGAGTGCATTCACGTTCATGACTTTGCTTGTAATCCTTTTTGAATTCTTGGCTGCAGGTTGATTGACGAGGTAGTCGGTTAACCTGCAGTCTATTGACATGCTTGACATGACATGGAAATAATTGCAGCCCTTTGACTATGCACTTAAGCATAGTTAAGCATTGTTACGCAAAGCTGACAGAACAAAAAGGAAACAAGAGTCTTACCTGAGATCTTATCACTGAGGTTTACACTTACTTTACACCACCGGGCTTTGTAAAGCATGATGTCCACAGGTATGTGTGAGCCTTTCTTTCATTTTGTTATAAATATAAACTAAACTTGTATATAAACTGAAATATATCCACAAAAAACAATTTTTAAAGCAAACAGCGCTGTAGTAGTAAAACCATCAACCCATCCGTGATGCGGATGTTTGTTTTATAATCGGTATTGGTGTATTTTTCATGCAGCTGTAACATTTTTAAATAAATATAGTTATTTGCATTCAAACCAATCTCAAATTTAGTGTGCGTACTCGCTACGCACGCACGCACACGCACACACACACACACACAGGCTCTGCTGTGAGATCACATGATTTCAAGGAATCTGCGAGCTGAAGTGAAAGCGAAAGTGCGGTCGCGAACACCTGAATCAACGGTTTGAAGCGCGCATGCGCGTTTGAGCGAAAGAAGGAGCGCGTACGTTCTCTGAAAACGAAATCATCTTTTTTATCAAACGAGTTGCGACTTTCTGGGGGCGAGAAGCCGACTGTAGCTCACTGCTGAGACACGTAAGTAGGCTTAATTATTCCTTTAGCTCACATTGTCGCTGAAGCTTGAGGCTGTTGAAGGAATCCAAGAAAGCTGAAAAAGAAAAGTGTCATTTTCTCATTAAGTGTGGGAACTTGTGACAAGCTTTTCCAATTTCTTTAAAACACATCAGCGTGACAGAGGTAGCTGAACTCCACCTTCAAAAATCCCCCCACCTTAAGTAAATCTGTTGTATAGCACAGAATTTTGCAGCTGAATCTGTGGAGGATGTTTGGCCACATTTGAGCTTTTTCTAAACACTTTTGCAGCTCTTTGCAGTTTTAACTCGTCCTGCTGGTTTTACTGTTATTTCCGAGCTCCAGCACTCTGTGTGAAATGCCACCGTGTCTCTGATTTAAGGTGTGAGTCATAAATGCTCTCCTCTTGGGCTAAAGTAACGCCGTGTCATTGCCCTGCTCCACTGCTTAATATCTGTGGGCGTGTGAACCTATGAATTAAAACCTTAAAATCGTTGTCACTGGTTCTTTTAAATATATATAATATGTCTGTGTGTGTGTGTGTGTGTGTGTGAGAGAGAGAGAGATAATGATAGACTTTTACGTCATTGTGAGACAAAACTGTTATGTTAGCTGATAAAATGCAGCTGTAAGCTCATTGCAAACACTGACACTAGAAAAAATGAAGTTATTATAACTCAGTGTAATATTTATAAACATTGACAATAAAAAAGGGAAAATAAAATTAATTTGAACTGTTAAAATATATACATTCTCTACTCACTGCTTGGTACACACTGTACTCCTTAGAAAGTATTGATCAGCATCAAGTATTTGCATTTTATTCTTTATTGTAATGTAATTTTTTATTTGCTTATCTTAAATTTGAAACACAAAAATCTGTACAGGACGGTTAAAATGTTTTCATTGCTTTTGTTTTAAATGAAAAGCAGAAAATGTCACCACTAATCTGCTTACCTCACACTTCAGAGGAAATTAAGTCTTTTTATACACCTTTTTAGTCTCGCTTGATTGAGAAAGTGAAAGCGTTCTTCTGTCATCAGTTGTGTTGTAGCCGCCCTTACTGGTGGTTTGTAACACACAAACATGTGGTTTACTGTCAGCCGCACACCCTTTAAGTCTGGATTGGGCACCCATGCTGGGAGCGTGTGCCATGACAGTGTGCGTTACGCTATATAAAGCCAGGGCGTGTTTCAAACATCAGCTGTGCGCTCATCAGGAGGCATAAAACATGTACACCAGAAATGACAATGTGATTAATGCGATGTTAAGTGTTTGTGAAAAGCTGAGGATTAAAGTTACAATATAAACTCTCTGCAGCATGGCGTCTCAAAGTGCACTGAGCAACAGATGACCAGCCGGGAAGGAGTGAATGATGGAGGATCTGCCAGTGAAAAACGGAGTAACTGGTGCAACAGGTGGTCAAGAGGAGGATTGTTCTTTGTAGGATGGTCAGAGACAATTGCAATAAAGTGGTAGTACAAAGCCCAAAACAGAGCCACGCAGCCGAACCACAGAGCCCGAGTGAGCCCTCTGAAGAACACCGGGAACAGATCCCAAACAGAGCGGAGTCGAGAGAGCTGGATTTACTGCACTGGGTCAAAAACAACTGTGAGGAAGACGCTGAGCTCTGGGTTAGTGTTCGCGATCACTCACTGCTGATTTTACTCATGTTGTTTTTGGTGATAGATTGTTTAAATATTAAAAGCACTCAGCAGGCAGAATACCACATTTTATGCCTTTATTGATTATTCGATCATTAACATGTGTGCACTAAACAACTTTAATGTTGCAGCTTTTTAACTACTTTACACACTGCTGGGAACTGTCTTAAATGTCCATCACAGCTCATTTGTCAATTATACATTTGTATAGATCAAAACTAGTAGCTACTGTTATCAAACAGATACAGTGGAGGAAACAGCAGTTTCCCTCAAAGTGAGTAAAATTGAATGCATTTATAAAGATTTTCAGATGTACAGAACAAGTACTTGAGCGTGTACTTTTAGGCAATGTCGTGCAAAAGTATATTTTTAAATCCGTTTCTTTTTCATTTAAGTTAGACTAAAAGCGAAACTAAATAATAATGCGATTGAAAAATTCAACGGTGTTTGTTTTACATTATTAACAGTATGATGGATACTAATATAATATGACAACATTTGTAAAAGTGAAACTACAAGTGACCCACAAACGTTTGTTTTTAAACTGCTATCAAAATAAAAGCTGATAAATTTATTAAGGAAAATAAACGATATGGCTGGAGCGTGGCGGTAATAAACTCGGTCACTCAGACCAGGTCGGTACAAAATGACACTCCCCGACAGGAAATCGTTGTTGTTACAAGGAAAGTGTTTGGAAGCCTGCCTGGCTTTATCATTGGACTTTGAACCTGAGCATGCCTCCCCCTCATGAGCCAAGGATTTACAGCACCATTATGGTGTTGGTAGTGGTCTTACAATGCTATCGCCCACAGAGCGCATCTTGTGTCAGAGCAAAACGTTACAAGTGGCGCTTATGGAAATTAACACGTGAAGTGAACTGATAAAGTTTCTAGTAAATGACCCAAGCATTGAGTTCACGCTGAGAAAGTGAAAGAACCCTTTGTGGTATGGCGGTTTCAGCTATTCGGAAAGTTTCCAGCAACATTCCTTGCTGTACATTTTTTGTTTATTACATAAGACGCCGAGTCACAAGTTCACGTGATGAGCAAGCTTAACAAAAAAGAAAAAAAGCACTCTAATTTAAAAAAAAAAGACATTTCAAAGATTTTAAAATTCTTTGAAATGTTTTTTTTTCTCTAAGTGGCTGTATAGTTGCACCACAAACCTTACAAATCAGATTTTTGTAAGTTTCAGTTTCTTTCTGATACCTCATTTGTGACCGATGTGCAATAATTTGTTCTAAAAATACTTGACAGGCGTCATTTAAGTTTCATTTAAAGTAAACTATTATGCTTATTTTAACTTTCAATGTTTTATTTTATTAATGGACCATAGTGTTTTTTGCTTTATTCACAGTTAAGCCTTTCAGTTCATCACTGATCTGAAACAAGCTGCTGTAGCTCCTCCCCCTTTAAGGCCACCCCCTCTTTAAGCCAGCTTTCTTCTAATTGGCTGCTCCTTTAAAACAAAAGAGCAGTGGGTGGGTGGGGCTTGATGTCATGCAAAAGCAAGACTCAAACAGACTGTGGGAGAGTATCTTCTGGCTGGCGGGGAGCGCTTGTGCACTGACCTCATCACTTAAAACTTTGCCTCACGTTTTTAAAGAAAAGCAACACAGGCAACATATATTTAGCCTTAGAGGCAAAGCCGAGGGCAAGAAAAAGCACAGCCTTCATTTTTGTTTAATCAGATTAGGAGCTGTTCGCTGTAGGCAGTGAAATCTCTGGTGTACCATCAGCAATAAAGACCCTGCAGCCACCAGAGAACACTTTGATTTATGTGCGTTTTTCATCATATTGACTGGACACGTCTGATCTTCTCCGCTGTAGGAAGTGACTGGAGCTGATTCCGATGGGTTGCCCACACACCTCCGTCCGTTCACCAGCGAAGCAGAGTATAAACTAGTAAAAAGTACTTACCAGCAGCTTCTGCAGAGTGATTACTACTGGGGATCCCTGACCATGGAAGAAGCCCACGGAAAACTCAAAAATGCTCCTGCTGGAACCTTCCTTATCAGGTAGTCAGCGCTGTTTTTCTTTATTTCTCTCTTTAACTGTTGTGTTTTTTTCCTGCTTTTTTCCCCCTTCATCCCATTAAAGCTAAACCAATGCAGTCCATCTCATTTGCCAAGCTCATGTGTAGTGACTGTACACCGCTGTGCTGTTGCAGGGACAGCGGGCAGCCGGATGTTTTCTTCACTCTGAGTTACCAAAGCGACGATGGCCCGACGAGTATTCGCATCCAGCTGAACAAGCTCCACTTCAATCTGTTTGGCAGCCAGAGGACTTTTCCTTCACTCTTTGCTCTGCTGACTTACTACACCAGCTCCTGCTGTAAACTGACGGTGCCCTTTCGTATTCACCGCCCAGAGGGTCTGAAACAGATGTGCAGGAGGGCGTTTGTAGGCATGTTTGGAGCAGATAGGATAAGCACATTACCTGGTCTCAACAAGCAAGTGAGAAGCTACCTTTGGGCATACCCTCACCCTATATAGACCCATGTGCTCCAAGTTTCTGTGTCAGGACGTTGTGCTATCACAAGGATAAAGAATTTTATTTCTTACTTTTTAAAGAAGTTATCCTTTGTACTATAAATGAGAGATAATAGAAGATCACTGCAGGTGACTGCTATGAATGATATTATTGGAGAGACAAGCGAGTAGAAGGCCGCAACCATCACAGGTAGAAATGGCTACATGAGGTAATTCAGGCAACCTGCGGCACAGATGGACAACCTGAAGGTTTCTGGTTGTTGAGAGGTTATTTGCACACCTTCTGAAAATGTATTGTTTTACAGATTTGACAAAGCACGTGTTAACGTTGTTTTGTTTTGGGGTTTGTTTTGGGGGGGGGTTTATATGCACTGTCAGAAGTCAACAATGATTATTTATATAACTAAAGTTTCTAGCAATTTTCCCTGTAAAGGCTGCACCACTGCCTGTATGGTGACATTTCAGTTTGTCGTGCCTATGAAAATGTCATAACTGCTGCTGTTTAAAGCTGCACTAGCTGATATCTGAACTTATGAACGCATGAGCAAGCAGCCATGTCAACAGCTCATGAACGTGAGGGTAAATCAACTGTAAAAATCCACTTGGAGTGATGGTTTCTGGCTCGTTCCTTCTCTTTCTTTTTTTGCGTTGCTTGTTTGGTAACATTAGGTTAATTATCTCAATATCTTGGTACAAAGGTTCATTTGCTCTGGATGATGGGGGGAAACAGAGGAACGGATTCCAACCGCTAAATTGATGTTTATAATTCACAGAATTTGCAGTTAATACGATTCAGATATCGGTTAACTTCGCCGCGGTTCTTTATGAGGTTGCAGATGTAATCTTCCCATTACAGAAGGAATCCTCTTTTTCTGTTATCTCACAAAAAGAGGATTCCTCCAGCTGTAGCTGACCTTAGATTCTGTAGTTTTGCTCTCACCTGTATTTAAAAAAAGCATCGACTTTGTGTTTTTTGTCTTTCTGTTGGGGTTTTGTGTTGGCCTTCTCCTGCCTGGCTGTCAAGGGGGTCGGCTACAGCAGCTAAACTAAGCAGCAGAGTTGACTGAATGTTTGTTTTTGTCACTTTCGTCTGTGTAGATTCCACCATAATTCTTTTTTTATGTAAAAGTATTGATTAATGCAACTGATCAACACTTGAAATTATTCTAGTTACTGTCTTTGGTCTTCTGGTACAATATGCATGTAATATTGTCTTGTTCATATTGAATAAATAATTTTTTATACTAGATAAAAATATATGTAAACCTAAGACTTGATTACTGCCCACTCAAAGACAGGAAGAGGAATACAAATCACTTCCTTTCTAGTAAGTATGTAAGCTTTGAAGGTAAACATGACAAAAACCTAGAGAATTTTTCAAAACAAGAGTAAACAAACACAAGTGTAAATATATTAGTTTTTAGCTGTTTTTTGGCTTTTATTTTGGGGGGGGGGGGGGTTTAGCCATTGAAGGTTTTGGTCCTGTCAGTTCACCAACAGCTACAGTACACTGTGCAGAGCATTACGAGACAGTAGTGTAAAAAAATGACGCTTTGCTTGCTGTGCTCTGCTCAACTTTATGACAGTGGGACATGAGTCTATTTTTAGTAGTTGTTAGTAACAGGATACACATGTACTTCTCAAGATGCGATTGAGGTGCAGGTTTTAATCACTTTTCATGCATTTTCAGAGGCTCATTATTAATCGGGACAGCTGACCGACGAGCACTTTCTTTATTGCACATCAAACAGCTATGACCTTTAAAATATTTTAAAGTCAGGTGACTTTTGTCTTTTTATCTAAACAATAGATCAAAAAAACTTAATTGGCAAGTGAAAGCAAAACTTAAAAAAACAAGTAAAAGGAAAGCCTTACACGCCACTCTCCAGGCAAAAGTCTCGCCCCTACCTTACTTTATCTGTAAACTTGACCTTCTTTTTGCAGTTTTATTTATTTATTTTGCAGTTTTAAAGTGACACATATTTCAGAAACAATAGTTTCAGATTGTTAAAGGACCAATGCGATGGTTTCAGTGGAAGCCTTGTTTGCATTCCTTTTCTGAAGTGTTTAGTATGAATCAGTCACAAAGATCACCTCTGTGAGCATGGCTAACTACATGTCTGTGTGATTTCATTTTAACCAGACTGACTCTGTGTGGGTGAATTAAGGCCCACGTCTTATTTGGGCTCTGTGCTGCATTTAGCGGTGTTACTCCGGCCTGGTATAAAGCTGACGCTCAGCTGAAAAGCTTTTTGATCATTCGTTCAGACAAGCGGTGTGCACACAATGCAGTGCAAAAGTGTGCACATACGCACATTATAGATTTTTGGTGGCTTTCCGTCATCTGTTCCACTTCCTGTCCTAAATCTGACTGGCAGTGTCCCCTTTAGTCTAAATTAGCCCTGCACCAGGGACACACACACATATCCACACTTTCCTGAGCCTCAAATTATCTTTGTCTCATTAACCTTAAACAGGCTGATGTGGAAAAAAAACACCACTGCTGTGACACACATAAACGCGAGGAGAGCTTATTTGTTGAACCCCTTCCAACAACAATGCAAAGGTAAAGAGCTTTTTATAAAAGGCTTGTTAAGCATTAACAGCTCATATCAGTAGCATTAAAATGGACATGCTCAAAGGCCTGTATAGATTTTAAAAGTGCTGTGAGTTACACCAGTGAGAAAATAGCCCCATCTGTCTTTATTGCTTATATATAGATACCGTATTGGAAATATGCCCATGTCTGTGGGCAGGCACATCATCAGCCTGGGCTTTCACGGCTGGAGCCTCGGGATCTTATTAATGAATAATATTAATCAATAATATGGTAAATACATAATCATCACATCAAAAATTTGATGTTTGGATCATTGAATTGGCATGTGATGATTGCATTGCTTTTACAACCAGTACAGGAGAGGGAACAGGAGGAGTGGGCAGAGGAGATGAAGAGTGCAGCAGGTTGATGACACAGTAAAAGAGCAGGAAAGGTGATGAAGAGGTGAGCACAGAAAAGACCAGACAGAGGCAGCACAGTTTGGGAGGGCTCAATATGACACAACAGAAGCAGAAACAACGAGAAAAACTGAACTAACATTATCAATGTGTCAACATGCAGCCTTATACATGAGTGCTTTATCAGCATTGTGGTTTTACTACTGATGCTCAAAGTCAGCCTAAAGCAGGGATTACACTTTCTGCTAGGGGTTAGATGGCTAGCGCGGGGCTCCACGTGGACGTCCACATGCCTTCCTGATTTACATCACAGTACAGCAGCTGTGAATCATAATGTGGTGTTCTTAAAGCAGATGTCAAAGAAGTATAGAGTCAATGAGTCCATGTCAATGTCCACAAAGGAGTATAATCTAGGCTTAGCACCCCTGACTTTAACCATTAGCTCTGATATTTGATAATAATTTTACTTTATAATCTAACTTCAAAAATGTGTTTCTGAGCGAAAATCCAAGAAGATTTCAGGGATGGGTCGAGGCACCACTGTTGTAAGGTCTTGGCAACGCTTCTGTTTGTGACCCATAAAGCTGGAAGAGACCACTTCTCTCTTCTTGGTGTCCTACTTCCCCTGTCCTCAGTATTGAGGGGTGGGCTCATGTTTGAGCAGGACCTTCAGTTTGATCCCAGCTGCACACCTGAAATCTCTGTATAAGGAAGACATTCTAAATATCTTAGTCATAGTTTCTGCTATTAGGTGTTTCCCAGGTCACATTTTACTGTGATCTCACACACACGCACACACGCACACACACTCCAGCACAGCTCGAGTGTGACTAGTTATTATTATTAAAAAACTGCTGGGTGTCCCGTGTGGTCGCGCGATCCCGGTCATAGCTATGAGCACGCCTCTTGCACGCGACTGCGTGTTTATATGACCTTTCTGACCGGTGACCCTCAGGAGGGGACCTTATCGCTCAGGGGTTACAACAACTGGAGTGGCACGCGTGCGTGTGTAGTACTTGTTTATGTAATGCCATATGTAATTGTGACCGCTCGCGTGTGCGTGCGCGCGCTGGATCTGGCGCGAGCTGGTCCAGCACCGCGGCGGCGACAGCGGTCGCACGTTAAACATCAGCCACCCATGCGTGTTATTCTGCGGACTGGGGACTCGTGAGATTTGAGCTGTGCGGGCTTGACCCGACAGATGGGAGGGCGCTCGAGCTCCACCGTTTTCACGCACGGCACGCACGTCGACCCGGTGAAATCGTCACGCTGATAGAATCTGTGGAATCTGTCGCGAGTGTTCCTGCGCGCGCGGTCGGAGAGCATCCCGACAGAGAGCGAGGTCCGGTCGGTCGGTCTGTAGTCGGTGTGGGTCCGCGGAAGGCTTTAGCGTGCAGGGGAGCTGCAGAGGGACTTGCGCTGGACTCCTTGGCCGAATCAGAGCATCCCATTCCCGGCAGCATCCATCCCTCCGCGCCTCAGCTCCAGCGGGAGGCCGGGAGCGGCGGCAGGATGTAGCAGCGGATTAACGGAGGAGAGAGGGGCGCTCAGAGGAAGAGAGCGGGACCGAGGCGGGACGGAGGGGACATGGGGAAGGACCAGGAGCTGCTCCAGGCCGTGAAGACCGAAGACCTGCTGACAGCTCAGCGGCTTCTACAGAGACCACGGCCAGGGAAAGCCAGTCAGTATCCATCCATCCATCCTCCTGTCTCTGTGTCACACACACACACACACACACACACACACACACACACACACACACACACACACACACACACACACACTGCCCGTCATTATCAGGTCAGGACAGTGCAGGCTAAATCTGATGTGATGCCATTTAGCCTAAATGGTGCACTGTGCGTGTTTGTGTGATGGCGTGCGTTTCTCCTGCACGCGTGTGTGTGTGTGTGCTATGACGTTGAGTTTGTGATAGTGATGACGTTGCACATGTGTGAGAACAGTCATCAGGATGTAATCTGAAATTAGGAGCGCTTGTCATCCCATTCCCCACAACTGATCTTTTCTGTGTGTGTGTGTGTGTGTGTGTGTGTGTGTGTGTGTGTGTGTGTGTGTGTGTGTGTGCGTATGCGCGTGTCTACGTGCGTGCGCGTGTCAGACAGAAAGGTGGAAAGTGGGTACGCACATAGGCCGTGCACCGCTCGCGGGACAGGGGGATTATTGGTGTGTGAAGACGCCAGATGTTAGTGGTAATAATGTGACGATCGTACACGTGCAGACATTTGCGTGCGCGCGCACAAATGTGATGCTAAAGCATGCGTGTGCGCGGGTGCCTAACATGGAGTCAGCTGGGACTTGAGGTGATAATTAGATTTCAATTACAGCGCTGAAACATCTCTCCTCCTCTGCAGTTTCACCATAAGACCCCTCTAAGCGCCTCTGCTTCTCTTCCTTCTCTCACCTCATTTCCTCTGCTCTGGCTTCTTCTCGCCTCTCCTCTCCCCGTGTTTCATCTTGTCTTCTCTCATATCATCTCTTGCCTTCTACTCCTGCGCTTTCCCTGTCTCTACCCTACCCCCCTTCTCATCTACCGTCCTGTGTCATTTTCTTCCTTCACTCATATCCTTTCACGTCCTGTCTCCTTCCTGCCTATTCACCTGTTTTCCCCTTTTTTCATTTCCTCCTAACTCCCTCACTCGTACCTCCTTTCCACTACTTCTAACCGTGCCGCTCATGTTTCTGCCTCTGTCATCTCTCTCCCCCCCACCACACACACACACACACACACAAGCAGCCACACACAGCCGGTGTTTCCTCCATGTTCCTCTCCTGCCCCGTCCTTTTCCTCTCTTCTCGTGCGTTGTTTGTCTCTGAACATTCCAGCAGTGCTGTGGAAAAGAAGAAAAAACTGCTTCTCCTCAAATGCCAGAACAGATCAGGCCTGAGTGCTTAGTCCACTGCACACTGACAAAGAGAGAGAGGGTGGGGTGGGGGGGTGGGGGGTTGTGGGTGAGGGAAATGAGGGTGAGGAGGAGGGTTAGCATGTAAGCAAGTGAAATGTTCAGATATGTATGCAGAGAGGTCAAGAGACAGGACGTGTTGGAGGGAGGTTAAAGAGTGTGTGTGTATGTGTGTGTGTGTGTGTGTGTGTGTGTGTGTGTGTGTGTGTGTGTGTGTGTGTGTGTGTGTGTGTGTGTTTCAAATCCAGGTTTATGTTTGAATAATTAAACAGGATGCCAGGTTTCTCTGCTGGAGAATTGTTGCTTTCTCAAACGCACACACTGACACACCCCAGACACACAGTTACAGGCAGGTACATACGCACACAAACACAAACACACACACAGGGACACACTTGACACATCGGGTGTTAGTCATGTGCCTGACTGTGTTTGTATTATTAATAGTATGCTAATGAGGTTCAGAGCAGCACTGTGGCGGGTTAAAGGGAGGTTTTGCTGTGTTGATTATTTGCTGTGTTGAAATGTCACACATTGATGCTGTGGATGAAAGGAACAGAAGCTTTCCTGGCATGATCACCTTCAGAGGCCAGAAAACCACAAATTTCTATCAGTCGTTATCAGTAGCTGTTTACACGCATGCACCGCAGCCCTGAACTTTTCCAGACTTTACCCAGCTGAGGTGGCAGTGAGAGCTCCTATCGCAGGATCAGCTAGATCGAACTTTACAGCAGTCGCTGACCTGGCATGTGAAGCCTCATTGTGCCAGGGCGAGCGCCGAACACACCATTTTCTGCTGTGTGATACATGTGAGAAACTCTGGAAAATACCCAGAGGTGATGTGAACAGGTAAAAAAGTGGTGTGACTAAAAAAAAAGCCTTCCTTGGTCACTGTGGTCACTGTCTAACTTTTAGATTTCCAGTCATTAGTCAACATTTTGGGAGTTATCCGCTCTTCCGTGATGCCCCTGGAGTGCGTGGAGACGCTTGTGTTTGCTCCTTCAGCCAGCAGCAGAACATTTGGTGTGCTTTGCTGAGACACTTCAGAGTTAGAGGTAACAGAAGCAGCTCTAGTGAGTAAATAGAAATGAGGGACTGCAAGGCAGCTGCTTATTCTCTATTTGAGGGCGTGCCAAACGAAAGGCTAGGCGAGCTCTGTGCCAGTGTGTTACATACAGTAGTGACATAGATAAGAAACGGGAGAAACGGTCGGACTGCTAACAAGTGTTTCTGTAGGAGACAGTAACTCCCACTGAAGAGGGCTTTGTTACTTTTTAAACCTTTTATTTTCACAAAAAGCTCCGTAACTAATGGAACGAAAGGACACCCCAAAAAAGAGCATATTACGAACTTTGACTGGAAGAAGACCCAGAAAAAAAGCACCACTGTAAACATAAATGATTTAAAGCGATGTAGCAGAGACCTACCACCCTGCTGGACATTGTGCATTAGTTTTGCAACAGAGGATGAGAGAACCGCGACACAAGGCCGTAGAGATTCCTTTCATAAATTTCGTTTCAGTGTCAGAGCTCAACTGGAAATCACTTTCGCCACCTTTGGGATGAATATTGGAAAATATTTTCACATAGAAGGGACACACAACGATAGACATGTAATCACTTGTACCAGTACACAATTCTCAATAACCAGTAGATAGCACTTGTGTACTTTATATAACATGCCTCATTCATCCATTCAGACTCAAATGGATGCATCAGAGAGCAACATGAGGTATCTTCCCTAAGAGACTGAAGGAGCCAGGGATCAAACCAGCAACCTTCTGATTGATAGGTGACCTGCTCTGCCTCCTGAGCTACAGCTACCCCAATACAAGACCAACACATAGTGATGCAGTTAAAGTCAATTGGCATCACTGACATGCTGGTGACGGTCCATTTTTTTTACTTTGCTAATAGACTGTTAATAGGCTGCTAAGTAGCCTACAAACGTCACTACGAGGTATAAAGTAAGCTACGTTACTACATGGGTTTCATTCTCCCTGGCATTTATATAACGGTCTCAAACCCAAACACATTTTGGTGTATGGAAACGTAACCGCTACCTCAAAAGACAGATGTTCATTTCAAGATAAAAACGCAAGATTTCTTATCAGGTAGTCGGGGCGGAGCCTTCGTGGCAGCTGCGCTAGCCCACGTGTAGCTTCTGCTGTGCTTGTGGGCTACTTTCTGCTTCTGCAGCACATTAGGATAGATAACACAGGAAGAGAGAACCACAACAGCAAACCATGGAGGTTCATATCGCAGTTCTGGTTTCAGTTCAGAGCTGTTAGACTGCTACCTGACACAGATACAGGACCCGTTAGACCTGCCAGTTTATTATTGGCTAATAAACCCATATTTAACCCATATTTAAGCTAAATGTGTGTCTGTATTGTAAAAAAAAATCAACTCGATCTTGCTGGGTTAAAGCTTTTTTTTTCATATAGCGTGTACTGATGACTAAGATTACTGTATTAAATTGAATAAACGATAACGTTGGTGTGATTCTCATAAAAATTCTGTGAGGAAACCCAAAGTTTGTCTGCCCGTTTCTCCCCCTCTGAAGACACACATCTGTGAAAAACTGCTCATCAACTCGGACGAGAGGAAATGATGTATCTGTCGGTGAATATCCGCTGAGATTAATAAACATTTGGTCTCCCAGTCAGCATTTTCAGGAACAACAGAGATGTATGTGGTGTCGACGCCAGTAAACTATAAGGTAAGATGTCATCTAATGGAGCGGTGTGCTGGGCTGATGGGTTTTCAATCATTCTGAGGCAAAGCTGGAGTTGTGTGGCACACAGGAATACCGAGCTGCAGCTGCACAGAGAATAGCAGACTCATTGTTGGTTGTTGTTGTAGCTGTAGATAATGAGAAAACTCGACAACACCACCTTGTCTTTTAAGCTTGTAGCCTTGCTGCAATCACGGCACTCTCGGTTTTCTTGTTACAGATCAATCAAAAGTTTGTTCTGAATCTTTCGAGTCTGAATGAATCACTTCAGATGAAAGAGACGTTCAGTCTCACTTTAAAGGAGACGACATTAAAACTACTGCCTGCTCACGCAAAGTGAGGCACAGTCCTAAACGATTTGGTAATGGTTTTATTATCTCTGGCTCAGCTGAAGTAAAGCTCTTTATCTTAGAGATATGAGAGCATGCTTATCATAACTGTATCTCTTTTATGTTGTAGCGATCCACTGAAATGGACTTTACTGATGATCAGGGAACGCTGACCCTTTTTTTCTCGTCTTTTTTGGCGTAGCTTATAGCACTTTGTAAGATCTGGCATTCCCAATTCATCAAGTGAACACCTGTAACAGATCTGCACTGAGAGCGCTTCTTTTTGTTAGCTTGTTGACTCGAGAATAACAGGTGTGATTACACACGAAACACCGTCTCCTCATCCTAGCTCTTAGCAAATGTGTGGACTGAAAAAAAAGTCAAATATTGTAATCTCTGTCAGGCTATGTTCTTGGTACTCAGATCAAGCAGCCTTAGTTTGGCAGACTCTGGGAACTGTGATTGTTCAGTATTATACCATCAACAGGATTAATCCATTAAGTAATTATACTATCAGCAGTGGAAATTATCAACAGTCACAGCACATGTTCAGAGTCCGAATCATCTTTATTCGGCCAAGTTTGTGCACACGCATACGGAATTTGATTCCGGTGCTCTCTGCATACAGAAAACAAAATTTTTTTAATTGGCTATTAAATAGGTAATATATAATTAGATGTATATACACAAGGAGAACA